AACCGAGATCAATATAAGAATCTTACATATTCTCGGAAAGCATATGCTTAAGAATATCTCCTAGCAAAGCATCTTAGAATATCCTCAGAAAGCTTATGCTTAAGAATCCCATATTCTCGAAAGCATATTCTTAAAATATTCCTTCTAACAAATCTTCGAGTTGGCCAGGAGCACGTAGAGCGCACCGCTAAGCCCCTCGAGCTCCACATCCACGCTCACATTTCTTCTATGGCTATTACACGCCCCTAGAAATGCCGTCCAAGAGCTTCTATCCGGGAAGAAAGGCATGGTTTGCAAGAGCTCGAGAGCTAGCTCGATCATTCCCGCGCGCCCCAGCGCATCGACGATGCTCTTGTAGTGATCCAGCCCTGCCGCGATCGAAAACTCCCCAGCCATCAAGCGGAAGAACACCCGGCTGTGATGGAGTAGACCACTGTGGCTGCAAGCCGAGATGATGCTCACGAATACCACATCGTCGGGCTCCACTCCGGCGGCGCTCATAGCCCGGAAGAGATCCAGCGCTCGCTCGCCCTGTCCGTGATGGGCGTACGCACAGATCATAGAGCTCCACGCGACCAAGTCGAGATCCTGCTCCGGCATGGACGAGAAGACGAGCTCGGCCCCCTCGAGGCATCCACACTCGCTATACATGCGGAGCATCACGCTCGCCAGAGAAAGCCCGTGGGAATCGTCGCAAGCGATTGAATTGCCGAGGAACTCGTGGAGGATTCTTCCCTGCTCGAGTGACCCGGTGGTGGTGCAGGCGGTGATGAGAGCGGTGAGAGTGCCGGGCTCGGGATGGAATCCCTCGAGCTCCATCGCCGCGCGAAGCAGGAGCTCCACGCCTTCTTTGACGCGATTGCTTTGTGCAAGTGCCACGATCATAGAGCTCCAAGTTGCCGAGCTCCACTTGGGCGAAAGATCGAACACTTTCCTCGACTCGTCGATGTTACTACACGCTTCCAAGAGACTGTTCCAGGAGATCAGGTCGCGCTCTGGAGCGGTGTCAAAAGATTTCTTTGCGTTATACATATCCCCCACTCTGGCAAATGCCGCGATCATAGTGTTCCACGAAACAATAGTCCACATTGGCATTCTCCAGAACTTCTCCAAGATTGACACGATCAGACCTCGTTGCGAGAAAGCATCTAAGATCGTGTTCCACGACACCTCGTTCTTCCATAGCATCCTATCGAAAAAATCTTTCGTCGTGACAGAATACCCTTCTTGGGCATTTGCAGCTAGCATTGCGTTTAGCGCCACGCAATCCCACTGCGGCATTTTTCCAAACGCCTCGAGCGCGGCAGCACCATCGCTGAATCCGGTAACAAGCGCAGTCCATGTCACGGCATTCCTTTCCTTCATGCTCGCAAACACCGCCATTGCCTGCTCCATCAGCCCGGCCGAGACGAGCGCGGCGAGCATCGCCGTGGTCGACACCACATTGTGCTGCGGCATTCGCGAGAAAACCTCGCGGCCCTCTCGGAGCCGATCGCTGTGCAGCAGTGCCGCCGCCAGAATGGCCCAAGAGAAGACATTGGGCTGCTGGATCCGGCGGAACGCATCCATCGCGTCCTCCACGCGCCCGCAGCCGCCATACATCTGCACGACGAGATTCCCCAGAAATCGATCGCTTCCATAGCCGCAGGCGACGATCTGCGAGTGAACCCACTTGGCTGCCGCCGGATCCTTGCCGCAGCGCTGTGCAAGAGAGCAAAGCTGGGGGTAGATGTGCTCACCGCTACACGCTCTTCGCATCCATCAAGCTCAAGAGCCCTAAATGCCCCAGCATATTCACTTAGTTTAAACGAAACCGTCGGATATCTTGGGTTCGATCTTAGCCGTTGAGAATTCCGCGCTCTTGTTCTTGGCGAGGAGATCGGCCGCGAATGCCTTGAGCCCGCTCATCTCTTGGAAATCCTTCCGGCACGCATCGCGCAGATCCGCGGCTCTCTTCCGGATCGAATCGGTCTGCTCGCCACCGCCCATCACCGCGCTTATGGCGCGCAGCACGTCCTCTTTGGAGAAATCTCCGCGATGACCCTTTGCGAGCTTCACGCCCGTCTTCCACACCTCCACGACGTACTTGGCGTTGGCCTTTTGCTCCGCGAAGCAGGGCTGGCAGATCGTCGGCACTCCAGCGCAAATGCTTTCAAACGTGGAATTCCATCCGCAGTGAGTGAGGAAGGCCGCGGTTGATCCATGGCGGAGGACCTGGAGTTGCGGCGCCCAGCGAACGACGAGGCCCAGATCTTTCGCCCTGTCAAGGAATCGTGCGTGATCTTCCTCTCCCATGTCCGAGACGAGATCCGGGCGAAGCACCCACAGGAATCTCTCGCCAAGGTCGAGCAATCCATCGAGCAGGACTTCCAGCTGCGAGAAATTCATCGCCGCTATGCTGCCGAAGGAGATGTAGAGCACGGATCGTGGCGGCTGGCGATCGAGCCAATCGAGGCAGCTGAGATCTTGCTCCCAGAGCGAGCTCGTGAAAAACTCCTGGGGCGATGATCGATGATCCAGGTCGCCTAGTCCGAGGAAGCTGGGTGGGAACAGTGGTGCGACTGGCACGAACCTATCAAACCCCTGCTCCCTCGCCGCATCGATGAGCGGCTGCTCCAGCGCGGGGCAAGTGTTGAAGAAGACCCAAGCAGCGCTGTTCCTCGCGCCATCGCTCATCCCTCGCAGTAGCTCGTGAGTCGTGTCCTGGGGATTGCAGACGAGCGATGGCAACTCCAGTGGATGCAGCGGGATCACGCCCGGGCACTCGATAAGATCCTCGCATTCTGGCCACAAGGATGCGTATTAGTTTTTCGCTCACTGTCAAGAACACGAATCTACTCGCTCTATGCTCCGAAATCTCGATTACCTGGATCGCGAGATGAGAGGACCTCGGTAGCACTAGCATGGTGGTAAATCAGGAACGCCAAGACCGGCAAGGGGAAGTACATCACCCAGGGCACTCCAAATCGGCGCGCCACTCCCGCCGCCCACAGCAAGAACGCATCCGATACGACGCACGACACCGGCGGCATGCTAGGGTCCTTGGCCAGTGCCTCCATGAGCTCCTCCAGTCCGGGACCGAGCTTCTTGACGCCCTCGAGGAAGTGGAAGATCCCGCCCATGGAGCGCGGCGGGAGCACATCGTCGGGGATGGGGCGCATTTGGATGGAGAGGCCGCGCTCCCACGGCGGCGCCACGCCCTGCCGTTCCCACGCCGCTAGAATGCTCTCGTGGTTGCCCCTCGTCGTGACGAAGGTGACGAAGAATCCCATGGAGCTCGCCAGGCGCAGGGAGAGCTGCATCAGCGGATTGATGTGGCCTTGCCCTGGATAAGCCACAACCACGGCGTGCTGTGGCCTCTCTCCCTCCGCCATGGACGAATCTCAACTTAGGGTTCTTGCGAGGAAAGTTTAAATAACATTGACCGTTTGACTAAGCGTTTTGAGTAAGAGTGTTTGGCTAGCGGAGACTAGGGCTCTTCGCGAAACACTCTGCGAATTCGCGCAAGCTCTCGCACGCCGATCCACCGGGTCCATGCGCCGCCCGGAGCGCGTCTCTCAATCGCAACACATTCTCCTTCATCGATTTGCCCTCTTCCCCATTGAGCTCCTCGATCAGCCTCGCGATCTCCCGGGACTGGATCACTCGCGGGGGATCGTCCGTGTCCTGGCCATGGTTGTTCACGCCCAGCGCGATCTTCCACTCCTCGACCATGCGCTTGGAGTTCATGTTTTGCTCCGACGTGCGCGGCCACGCAAGCATTGGAACGCCGGAGCTGATCGCTTCCATGGTCGAGTTCCAGCCGCAGTGGGTCACGAATCCCACCACCGCTGGGTGCCGCAGGACGTGGAGCTGGGGAGCCCACGACACGAGCCTGGATTCCATGGGCTTGGCTCGATCTAGAAGCTCGTCCAGGGCCTTGTGATCGTTGTCCGGAACATCCACGACAAAGTTCTTCCGGAAGCTCCACAAGAACGCCTGATTGGAAGCTTGCAGCGCGTCGAGAATCTCCTTCACTTGGCGGAAGGAGAGCACTGCGACGCTCCCAAACGCGATGTAGAGGATCGACGCCGGAAGCTGGCGATCCAGCCACTCCATGCAGCCGAGATGCTCGTCGTGATCGCGCAAATCCTCCCTGGGGAGCTGCGCTTCGCGGAGAAGAGCCCGAGGGATCAGTGGCCCAATCGCAAAGTACCTCATCCTCTCGCGCATCGCGGCGATGGCCACTGGTTCTAGCTCCTGGAACGTGTTCGCGAGCACGCAAAACGCCTCTGGACGCCTCGCGCAAGCTTTTCCAATGAAATCCAGGCAGACGTCGTCGTCATAGAAGGCCAGCGGCAAATCCTTTCGAGTCATGCCAGTCAGCCCCGGCAGGAAATCGATGACACTCTCGTCTTCCAAGTTTCCTGGAGAAGAAGTGTTCATCAACTTTTAAAAGCAGCTCATCCTTGATAAACTTACTCTTGACTGGCAGATAGCCTCGAGACCTTGTGCCGTCCTCGTAC